CAGAGTGATATCTTAAAGATATGCGAGTGGTCACAAAAATGGGACCTCCCACTCAACGCATTGAAGAGTTATCTGCTAGCCAAAACAACGCATCCCGTCCCTCGTCAGATCCTCACTACGGCCGGAGCATATGCAACCCCACCTTACAAATCAGAGGCAATGGACCTCGGGATAAGAGTCTCCAACACCTTCTCCCCGTCCTCTACCGCTGTAACGGCAGCCTTAAAAGCCAGGCGAGCTCTGTTAAGACTCCGAACGGAAATCACCAACCGTTGTCCTAGTGCATTCATGCCCCTATACACAGCTATCGCGAGGCCCCACCTCGAATAATGTGTTCACGCTCGGGCACCGTATCTTCAAAAGGATATGAAAGTTCTAGAAGACGTTCAGCGACTAGCAATCCAGATGGTTTGGGGTCTAAAAGGACTCAAAAACTTGGAAAGACTGAACTCCCTGAACCTGTTCTCTCTAAAACGCCGACGGATGAGGGGGACCTCATTGAAATGTATAAATCTACCAGGAACATGGAGCAGTCCCCGTTGGACACCTGTTCATCCTGAGGGCCAACGACATCCTCCGAGGGCACTGTTACACACTAAAGAGAAGGTGCAGGCTAGCAATTAGACATCACTTCTTCGCAAATAGAGTAGTCCCTGCATGGAACAAACTACCAGCTGGAATAGCTGAATGTCCCACAATGAAGGACTTCAAACTAGAGCTGGACAAGGAGTGGTATCTCTTATTCCCAGAACTCCCCTAGGGATCAGGGTTCCCTAAGTTTACTGATGGAATGCATATAACAGAAACTGCGCCGTCTCCCTTTCCCTTCTACCTTCCAGATATTACTCCCTCGTGGAGAGTCGGAAGAAGCTTTACACTCGCAGGCGAGTCGGTCTACAGACGGAACCCACGATTACCAGGACATCCAACAGTCGAAGGCCTATCTACGTTCTGTGATTTGAATTTTTTTTGAAAACCGAACCGAACGGAACCGAGGAGTACAAATTGGACGCATGACACGAAGCAAACTTATCGTTAATTCAACGAGGAAAATTATCTGAATAATGATATCAAACAAAGCTAACTGAATTTTAATTCACAGGTGTATAATATGAGGCATGTAATCTCGTGCAGACTTAAAGCACTTTTATTGTGAAAGACTTAAGATAGCGTTCATTTTCAGGAAACAATGTGATGGATTCTTACGTTTTTATCACATATTTGTGTAATTAGCATTAAATGAAGTGAAACTAAATGCCACAAAACACTGCAGTTCGGTGATCAAAACCGGTGACCTCAGATCCGATATTCCCTGCTATTAAAATGGCGCGTTTGAAGGAACTGTTTTAGTCCCGAAATCGTGAATTCTGTGAAAGAAATTAGCGACTTCGAGGCAACTCACCAAAGTGTCAGAAATTTTTGTCCTATGACAAGAAGCTATGAGCCCATAACCACAATCTCCGGGGAATGCGCTTTCTTACATTGCGTCATTTTGCAAAGTTCGCGTAAGGTTGCGTTTTCATTTTTTGCTGATAGGACACTAAAAGTTATCGTTATCATCTTTATCGTGCATCCATATATAAGAGGGTGATCTTTTCTGACCGTGTGGTGTAAGTGTCAGCCCTTTCGCTCTTAAAACTCCCATCTTTCGGACCAAAATCACCTCGTTGGTCATGGTACGTTGACTTTCAATTTCTGCACGATTAGTTACCTGTGCGCTTCTCTCTCTGTTCTCCAGCTCATCCCAATACAACGGTCGTTGAGGTTTCGTGATACCAGTCGTTCTGTTTCCGTTCGTTACTTTGTCCGTTGCTAGACGTATGAATTCGTAGACATCATTAGCGTAGAGACCAAATTGGTGAGGCCGACGTAATTATTTTACTTTTCACAGTTATCGTGCAGTTTTTTAATTTCGTTATTACCGTTAGAAAGTTCCAGTTGAGATTCTAGTGGTGACAATCTGGGATTGCTTGCATCCAACAAATGCGTAACACGTTTTCGCTGGAAGCCTGACTCCTCATATAGCTGAGCAACTGTGTGGGAGTGTGCAACCCATTATCCCCTGGACGGATTCCGTGAAGTAGCTGCTTGAGACGTTTGTCTTCCATCAGACAGAACCGGCTGATGATTGCATCTTTTAATGCGTCGTAAGGTCTATCGGGTGGGGGATTGCAAACCACATCCCTTGAGCCAGGCCCCATCGGATATGTCCCGCGATCTGTGTAAATTTGGTGACTTGATTTGTCACCCTGGCGAGCCGGCATTGCGCTTCAACCTAAGCTAACCAAAACTCCGGGTCTTTGGGGATGAAAACGGGGATTCTAGCCACAAGACTACTCACGTGTAGGCTATCATGCTGCCTAACGATGACTTCTGCACTGCTTTGATCGTCGCTTCCTGAAGTTTGCATTATGCACATAGGTGATGAGTAAATGACTAAATGCACAGTGTATATACGTGGATTAAATAAAAATTGTAAAGTGAATCTACGGCTACACGAGTAATAAATTAAAAAAAAGCACTCAGAATTTTCTAACGGTAATAACGAAATTAAAAAACTGCACGATAACTGTGAAAAGTAAAATAATTACGTCGGCCTCACCAATTTGGTCTCTACGCTAATGATGTCTACGAATTCATACGTCTAGCAACGGACAAAGTAACGAACGGAAACAGAACGACTGGTATCACGAAACCTCAACGACCGTTGTATTGGGATGAGCTGGAGAACAGAGAGAGAAGCGCACAGGTAACTAATCGTGCAGAAATTGAAAGTCAACGTACCATGACCAACGAGGTGATTTTGGTCCGGTAAAACAAGGTCCGAAAGATGAAAAAGTCTCATGTGTAAAAGGGTTGGCACTGTCACTACCATCGCTGCCGTGGTCATAATGTGCACCAAGTATGTGAGTATACATATTACCGTCTTCAGAGCAAGCTTGTTGTGAATGCAACAACAAGAATAACTAAACATAGGAGGTTGATATACATACCAGGGCAAAAGGGGGTTAGGCAGTTAAATTGAATGACGAGAATGACAATTTTTTTGTTTGTTTCACCGTCCTTTTTTGATATTTTTGGGTTAGTTTATCGTTTTTTATGTTGCACGGGATTTCAATAGACAGACCGTACAGCTTTTGCGTCACTGACTTCTATTATAGACGATATCTTTCAGTATCTCTTACCAGCTACAACCCCCATCCCTTGGGCTCCAACCTGGAAGGCAGGCTGCACCAACCGAAGCCAAAGCTAAAGCAAGCTTCATACCGCTGCGCAATGTCATGTCTGACCACTGCGGTGATTCTTCCGACCTTGCCCGGCAGGTTCAAAGAGAGAAATTCAAGGTAACCGATGGGCAGGCATATGCAATACATGAACAATCCAGCGGAGGCAATGTAGAGGAATTACTTCTTTTAGAGAATGACCATCTACATCCAACATACTACGACGAACCCGTCATTGCTCACCCAATGTCACCACGAGACACGAGCAATGCTTCGGAGACATCGGCGGCCGAATACAGAAAGTCGATTGGCATCCTCAACACGGAGTGGCCAGGTCTCACAGCCGTACAGTAGAACGCTACGAACCACGGCGATGTACAGTGAGGTCATGGCGGCGCCACAGGTGTCGCAGTTTGGCGAAAGCTTTCGCTATTCTCCTCCTTGACACAAACACCATTAAACAACCGTTAAGCATGCATTCCCGTGCGACGCTTTTGGTTGCTGTCTTTCGGCTGCCCATTTGGGTGAACAGTAGGAGAAAAACAGGAGGGTTGAAATTGGGATCGGAGAGAAAATTGGGAAGTTCAGTGGACTAATGACGCAAAGAAATTGAGAAGACGCACAAACGCCACTG